CCAAGGACAGAATGGTAGCCTCCTTACAATCTTTCAAGGGACACACTCCAGTGATACTAGACAGATCTTTGGCAGCAACCATGGTGTCCTCTTGGACCCTTGAATTGAATGGAAAAGCCACATGAGCTTGAACAGTTATTTGAAGGATTTTCTTTCACTTTGCTTTCATTAAAAAAAGATTAGAAATAGGGGAACTGTGCACTTTTATAGATTAAAAAAATAAAGAGGAAAGTTTTTTTTTAGGTGTGACAAGTGGCGTTATTATCAATTAAGACACCTTGTGGCAGAACTCCCACAGCCTCTAAGGATGACAGAGGACATGTATCCAAAGGAACAATTTTTTAGTACGGATAAAATACGTAGGCATGTAACCTCTCGCATTTATAAAATTCTTACTGGTTTATCTGGATCTGTCTCACCACCATCCTTGGAAAAGTGGGAAAAGGAATTAGGAAGTAAACTAAATGTACAAGAAAAAAAGAAAATGTTTAACTTGGTGCATGGGGCGGTGGATATGAATACTGTAGAAATGAACTATAAATGCTTAGCAAGGTGGTATGTTACACCTAGTGTGGCACATAACCAACAAATAGAATTTTCACCCTTACGTTGGAGGTGATATGGGAAGAAAGGAACAATGGCACACATTTGGTGGGACTGTCCCAAGATACAACATTTCTGGCAGGAAGTAATACAACAAATACATGAGATAACAGGGATTAGTGTTCGGCAGGATCCCTGGGTCTGCTTATTTCATAATACTGATCTTGCGGGAAAACAATATAAGAACACAATGCCATTTCATTTAATAAATTATGCAAAAGAACTGTTTCCTAGGTACTGACAGATTCAGGATCCCCCAAATATTAAGGATTGGATAACTAGAGTGGAGTTCGCATCTAGGATGGAAGAACTATACCACATTGGAGAAGACAGAACCGAAAAAGTTCTGCCACAAGGTGTCTTAATAATAATAATAGTGAATTAAGTGAATTAAGCTCAAAATCCTTCTAATAGCTTTTATTTCCATACACACAAATGCATTGGGAACACTACACATTCTATTCCAAATCAAAACATGATGAAAAATATATCAAATTTGTGTTGTTCCTCTAAAAAAAATTGAAGAAAAGTGAATATTAGACTGTTCAAAAAAATAGCAGTGTTTGTATTCTTCTTTACAAACTCAAACATTCACTCTATAAAATGAAAAATGTTTGAAGATTTTGCTTTCCTTTGAATGACTTAATGAATATTTAGTTGTATAAGCACTGTTTCTGACAACTGCTGTACATCTGTGTTGCATGGAGTCACCCAACTTCTGGCCCCTGTGAACAGGCCAGGATGATTGGACTACATTCCACAGTTCTCTATTTCTTGGTTTTGCCTCAGAAACGGCATTTTTGATGTCACCCCACAAGTTTTCTATTGGATTAAGATTGGGATTGGGCTGGCCATTCCATAACCTCAATCTTGTTAGTCTGGAACCAAGATGTTGCACGTTTACTGGTGTGTTTGGGGTCATTGTCTTGTTGAGAAATCCCCATATCATGATGCTTGCACCACTATGCTTCACTGTCTTCACAGTGTACTGTGGCTTGAATTCGGTGTTTGGGGGTTGTCTGACAAACTACTGTCTCCGGCCACTAGACCCAAAAAGAACAATCTTACTTTCATCAGTCCACAAAATGTTGCGCCATTTCTCTTTAGGCCAGTCAATGTGCTCTTTGACAAATTGTAACCTCTTCAGCACGTCTTTTTTTCAACAGTGGGACTTTGCGGGGGCTTCTTGCAGATAGCTTGGCTTCACATAGGCATCTTCTATTTGTAACAGTACTCATAGGTAACTTTACACCTTCTTTGATCTTCCTGGAGCTGATTGTTGGCGGAGTCCGCGCCATTTTGGCTAATTCTATCCATTTGAATTGTATTTTTGCGCTTTCTTTCACGTCTTTCAAGTTTTGGTTGCCATTTTAAAGCATTTGCGATCATTTTAGCTGAGCAGCCTATCATTTTCTGCACTTCTTTATATGTTTTCCCCTCTCCAATCAACTTTTTAATCAAGGTACGCTGTTCTTCTGAACAATATCTGGAACGACCCATTTTTCCTCAGAATTTCAGAGAGAAATGCACTGTAACCAGCATGTACAACATTTGCTGCCTTCCTTCCTTAAATAAGGGCAATAATTGCCACCTGTTTTTCAAAGAATGAATGACCTCACTAATAGAACTCCACATTGCTATTATTTTGAACATGCTCCTTTCAATTAGTGATTCAATTACACAGAATCAGCAGCATGTATGTCATGACTGTTGGGTCTGTTGGATTTCTATTACTCTACTACACCTGCTAGAAAATTATTTGCCATGTAGAAATATCATTTCTACCAAAAACAGTGATCAGGTTAGTGATGTCTGACTGCTATTATTTTGAACACAACTGTATATCTGCAGGGCTCAAAATTTCAAGTCCTGAGCTACTAGCCAGGCCTTAAGAGTTACTCACCCAGTTGCCCCGCGCCTAAATACACCCTCATAAATTATCCCATGAAATTACACTCTTAAATGTTTTATGCAGAATAAAGTTACAAAAATCAATCTTAAATATACACCCATTGGGTGTCCTCCTTTACATTAGGTGTCCCATCAAAGTTCCCCTTTACATCAGGTGTCCGATCAGAGTCCCCCTTACATCAGGTGAACCATCAGAATCTCCCTTTACATCAGGTGTCCCATCATAGTCCCCCCTTACATCTGATGTCCCTACATGGGACAACAACACAAACTAAATTCTTTTGGCTGCACTCATGAGTGCTTATACTGCTGGAGGACAAAATAGGAAAGAGGAGGAGGGGAGAGAGAGACATTTGGAAAGAAGGAAGTGATTGAAGGAAGGAAGGATGGAAAGAAGGAAAAAAGGGAGGGAAGGAAAGGAAGGAAGGAAGGATGGGGGGAAGGGAGGGAAGGAAGCAAGGTCATGAGGAAGGAAGGGAGGGAGGGGAGGAAAGGGGGGAAGGGAGGGAGAGGAGGAAGAAAGGAGGGAAGGAAAGGAAGGAGGGATGGGAGGAAGGAAAGGAAGGGAGGGGAGGAAGGAAATGGAGGGAAGGGGAGGAAGGAAGGAAGGAAGGAAAGGAAGGACGGACGGACGGAAGGAAGGAAGGAAGGAAGGGAAGGAAGGGAAGAAGGGAAGAAGGGAAGAGAGGGGAATAGGATGGAAGGAAGGAAAGGAAGGAGGGAAGGGAAGGAAGGAAGGAGGGAAGGGAAGGAAGGAAGGAGGAGGGAAGGAAGGAAGGAGGGAAGGACTCACATGCTCAGTCAGAAGAATTACAGGGCTGCTGGTTGCTCTGTATACAATTTCCGGCTCACACATCCTCTTCTGAGAAGCTGCACAGACTGGAGTGTGGGTGGGCACAGGGAGAGGCAGAGCAGATCCAGCCTCTCTCTCTCCTATTGGTGTGGCGGATTGGGGGAGGCGCTGGGCACAGAGGAGGGGGGCCAAAAAAGAGAAATCTAATTGACAGTCCGGGATGATCGGCGCAGCTGTGGACACAGGTACAAGCACCGATCTCCCTGTATGGCTTTCAATGAAGCAGCTGGAAGCTGCAACTCCTCCTCTCCCTCTGTGGCTTCCAGCTGCTTCATTGAAAGCCATACAGGGAGATCGGTGCTTGTAACTGTGTCCACCGCTGCAGTCTTCACACAGTCTCCCCCACCATATTTCCACTCGCCAATGTGAGCAGGCGAGTGGAAATTTCGAGCCCTGTGTAGATATATATATATATATATATATATATATATATATATATATGTGTGTGTGTGTGCTCTTCCGGGTAGGGGGCGTGCCTGCCTACCCACGCTGTCATTCGCTCCCTGACATGCCAGTCAACATGTCCCAGCTGATGATTCACCTCGGAGCTAGTGACAAGAGACAGATCTGTGTTGGTAAACAACACATATCTCCCTACTGACAGCGGGATGTGCTGGTTTTTGTCTCCCTGAAAAGGGAGATAAAAAAAACTGTCACATCCCCTAGTAAAACAGCAGTCAACACATTACATATAGTTAGACACACAGTTAACCCAGATGTTAACCCATTCCTGCCCACTGTCATTAGTACAATGTCAGTGCATTTTATTAGCACTGATCACTGTATTAGTGTCACTGGTCATGTCTGTGTCTGTTAGCCAGTGTCAGAATGCCTGCTCTACTATCCCTAGTAAAAAAAAAACTATCACTAATTTAAAAAAAAAAGAAAAATCCAGTATATATACACCATCATTTGTATATGCTATTATTTTCACGCAAACCAATTAATAAACATTTATTATGGTTTTTTTTTATCAAACCCATATAGGAGAATACATTTTGGCCTAAATTTATGAAGAAATGTTATAACAAAAAAAAGTTAAAAAACGTTTTTTTAAACATTTTCTTTTATAGCACAAAAAAATGAAAAACCACCAAAAGAAAGCTTTATTTGTGTGAAAAAAAATTAAATTTATGCATAGTATTGCATGACCACGCAATTGTCAGTTAACCGCCTCCCGCCCGCCATATAAGGAAATGACAGGCGCAAGGCAGTTCTCCCCGTTCTGGGAGGACGTCATATAATGTCCCCCTACTCTAACCGTGAGTGCGCGGCTCTGGCAGGGCGCAGCACGGTGATCGGTGGTGCGCTGTGTCCCTCGGACACAGTGGATCACTGATCAACGGAAAGAGCCAAAGACGTCGGCTCTGTCATGTGATCAACTGTGTCCAATCACATGTAAATAAGGAAATGCCAGTTATTGGCATTTCTCTCCTCACGAGCTGTCATGCTGACCGCTCATGAGGAGAGGAGAGCCGGTAATCGGGGGACATGTACACTGATCATCAGTGCCACCTGTCAGTGTCCATCAAAGACAGCTGTCACTGCTCATCAATGCCACCTGCCAGTACCCATCAGTGCCACATATCAATGCCTACCAGTGCACATAAATGCCATATCTCAGTGCCCATCTGAGCTGCCTTTCAGTGCCTTCTATCAGTGCCAGTCAGTGCCACCTATCAATGCCAGTCAGTTCCATCTATCAGTGTTGCCAGTCAGTGCCACCTATCAGTGCCAGTCAGTGCCGCCTATCAGTGCCAGTCAGTGCACATCAGTGCCGCCTATTAGTGCCTGTCAGTGCCCGTCAGTGCCGCCTAACAGTGTCTGCCAGTGCCGCCTAACAGTGTCAGTGCCACCTAACAGTGCCAGTCAGTGCTGTCTATCAGCGCCAGTCAGTGCCGTCTATCAGTGCCACCTATCAGTGGCATATGAGTGCTGCATGTCAATGCCACCTACCAGTGCCTCCTCATCAGTGCACATCAGTGCCGCCTATCAGTGCCCATCAGTGCAGCCTATCAGTGCCCATCACTGCAGCCTCATTAGCACACATCAGTGAAGGAGAAAAATCACTTATTTACAAAATTTTATAATAGAAACTAAGAATAAACTTTTTTGTTTCAAAATTTTCTGTGGTTTTTGGTTTGTTTAGCAAAAAATAAAAAACCCCAGAGGTGATTAAATACCACCAAAAGAAAGCTCTATCTGTCTCAAAACAAATTATGCCATATGGGTACAGTGTTGCATGATCGCGCAATTTTCATTCAAAATGTGATAGCACTGAACACTGAAAATTGGCCTGGGCAGGAAGGGGGGTATAGGTGCCTGGTAGGCAAGTGGTTAAAATAACACAGCACCGTATAGCAAAAATGTCCAGTAGATCTGTATATCTATGTACCTCTGATGGCTTCCAATACCATCCCTATGCTGATGATATCCAAATTTATCTATCTACTCCTCACCTCACTCCTCTAGTCTCCTCTCTCACATTACTAAAACTGACATATTGCAAGGATGTCGCACCTCATCCTTTAACTAAATCTCTCTTAATCCAAGCTGATATTATTCCCCCTGACTCGTGCTCTCCTCCATTACTTTTCCATCAAGATCAATAATGCAACTATCAGTCCCTCTCCTCAAGCCAAGGTACTAGGTGTAATCCTAGACTCTGTGACTTGTCCTTTTGGCCCCAAATCCAATCGCTGTCAAAAGTGTGTAAACTTCACCTCTGTAACATCTCTAAAATTCGCCCCTTTTTAACTAGTGAAACCGCTAAGCTACTCATTCACTCCCTTGTTATCTCTTACCTTAACTATGGCAATCCCTCATAGGCCTACCTCTCCGTAGGCTATCCCCTCTTCAGTCTGTCATGAATGCTGCTGCCAGAATCATCTACCTTACCAACCGCTCAGTATCTGCCATCCCACTCTGGCAATCCTTCCACTGGCTTCCCATTGCCCAGAGAATTAAATTCAAAATACTAACAACATCATACAAAGTCATTTACAACTCTGCCCCAAGGTACATCACTAATCTTGTCTCCAAATATCACCCAAACTGTCCTCTCTGCTCTTCTCAGGACCTCCTGCTCTAAAACTCCCTTGTCTCCTCCTACCATGCTCATCTCCAGGACTTTGCCAGAGCCTCTCCCATCCTCTGAAATTCTCTACTGCAATCTGTCCGGCTATCGCCGATCACACCTCCAACTAAACGTTTATCACTTCCATCAGCTCATCCCCCACAGGTTATAACCTTTTGTACCACTTGCCCCACCCTATTAGAATATAAGATCTTATGAGCAGGGCCCTCTTAAACCTCTTGTTTTTTAATATATTGTAACTGTGCTGTCTCCCTTTATATGGTACCATATCAATCCTGTAAAATAATAATCTGTGAGTTCCTCAGTTTGATAACATACACTTGTAGATATCAGCTTAGTGTTTTATATTGCCATTCAAGCCAGGTAATTGGTACTCATGGTCAATGTTTCCATTAAGGCACAATGTTAAACAGTGCAGTTTCAGCACATACCATCTAATCATCTCTCTCAGGTAGCACAGCATCTACTGACAAACTCACTGTGCATACATAATAGGAATATAAAACCTGCATAGTCATCTGTTCATCAGTTCCAATGTGTGATAGGCTGTTCCCTCAATCTCTTCCACTATTCTGAGTTAAAAGTCAGGTCAGAACTGTTGTATATGCTAAGCTTCCTTTAGACATGCAGGACCTTGTAACAATAAGTACAGTTGTGTTAAAAAAAATAGCAGTCAGACATCACTAACCTGATCAATCACTGTTTTTGGTAGAAATGATATTTCTACACAGCAAATAATTTACTAGCAGGTGTAGTAGAATAATAGAAATCCAACAGACCCAACAGTCATGACATGCATGCTGCTGATTCTGTGTAATTGAATCACTAATTGAAAGGGGCATGTTCAAAATAATAGCAGTGTGGAGTTCTATTAGTGAGGTCATTCATTCTTGGAAAAACAGATGGCAATTATTGCTCTTATTTAAGGAAGGAAGGCAGCAAATGCTGTACATGCTGGTTACAGTGCATTTCTCTCTGAAATTCTGAGGAAAATGGGTCGTTCCAGACATTGTTCAGAAGAACAGCGTACCTTGATTAAAAAGTTGATTGGAGAGGGGAAAAAACATATAAAGAAGTACAAAAAATGATAGGCTGCTCAGCTAAAATGATCGCAAATGCTTTAAAATGGCAACCAAAACCTGAAAGACGTGGAAGAAAGCGAAAAACTACCATTTGAATGGATAGAAGAATAGCCAAAATGGCAAGGACTCAGCCAACAATCAGCTCCAGGAAGATCAAAGAAGGTCTAAAGTTACCTGTGAGTACGGTTACAATTAGAAGACGCCTATGTGAAGCCAAGCTATCTGCAAGAAGCCCCCGCAAAGTCCCACTGTTGAAAAAAAGACGTGCTAAAGAGGTTACAATTTGCCAAAGAGCACATTGATTGGTCTAAAGAGAAATGGCGCAACATTTTGTGGACTGATAAAAGTAAGATTGTTCTTTTTGGGTCTAGTGGCCGGAGACAGTGTGTCAGACGACCCCCAAACACCGAATTCAAGCCACAGTACACTGTGAAGACAGTGAAGCATGGTGGTGCAAGCATCATGATATGGGGATGTTTCTCATACTACGGTGTTGGGCCTATTTATCGCATACCAGGGATCATGGATCAGTTTGAATACATCAGAATACTTGAAGAGATCATGCTGCCTTATGCTGAAGAGGAAATGCCCTTGAAATGGGTGTTCCAACAAGACAACGACCCCAAACACACCAGTAAACGTGCAACATCTTGGTTCCAGACCAACAAGATTGACGTTATGGAGTGGCCAGCCCAATCCCCGGATCTTAATCCAATAGAAAACTTGCGGGGTGACATCAAAAATGCAGTTTTTGAGCCAAAACCAAGAAATAGAGAACTGTGGAATGTAGTCCAATCATCCTGGGCTGGAATACCTGTTCACAGGTGCCAGAAGTTGGTTGACTCCATGCAACACAGATGTACAGCAATTCTCAGAAACAGTGGTTATACAACCAAATATTCATGAAGTCATTCAAAGGAAAGCAAAGTCTTCAAACATTTTTCAGTTTATATAGTGATTGTTTGAGTTTGTGAAGAAGAATATAAAACACTGCTATTTTTTTGAACCGTCTAATATTCACTTTTCTTCAATTTTTTTAGAGGAACAATACAAATTTTATATATTTTTCTTCATGATTTGATTTGGAATAGAATGTGTAGTGTTCCCAATGTATTTGTGTATATGGAAATAAAAGATATTAGAAGGATTTTGAGCTTTATTCACTTTTTTCAGCACACTACTATTATTTTGAACACAACTGTATATGTACTTATGCCAAATTGTACTCCATTTTTGTAATATGTTGACAAATGTCAACATGTTAAAAATGGTCTGTATTTGGATGTATCCTTGTTAATTCTGTGAATGTTGTGTCAGCATATTAAGGTAGTATTTGTACAATTTTAAATCTGTGCATTATCTTTAAGAAAAGATATTAGGCATATTAAGCAGCATTTAATCCCAGTGCATAAGGCTCCAGCATTTAGTTGTGGCTGGAGGGCACAGGCGCACCGTCCAGCCCCACTAAGAGAGAGTGAAAGTTGCTGCCACTAGACAATGCACTGCGTGATATGCACAGTTAAGACAGTATGTATCCAGGGACAAATGCCTGAAACATAAGCAGTTTGTTTTTTCGTGTATTTGTCCCTGGGAGCATACAGGCCTAAACGAAAGCAACAATGTTGTAAAAAGGTGCACAGCTTTAATAACAATTGTTATAAATATTTTAATAAATACATAACTAAAGCCCACCTCAGGGATAAGATTAGCTCCCCTCCAACTGGTATGAAAAAAACCTCCAAAATACCCATGTTTACATACCTAAAGATGCCAGTGTTCTCTTTTCCTCGTTTACATCTGGCAGGGACTTTCTTCAGGTGGGGACACTTCCTACAGCAGCATTGCTAGGTACCAACATGCCTTGCCAGACCATCAAGGATAAGGGATTGGTATTTATTATTAGGTCAGCACCACACTGCTTTTTTCTTGTGTGTGTTGCTCCTTAACATCTGTACCAGGCCTTCATCCATGGTGAGGATCTGGTATAGATGAAGGGAAACCCCAGGTACTTTGTTTGCAAACATTGCACATTATATTGCTATATTAAATACATATGGGTTGATTTACTAAAACTGAACAGTGCAAAATCTGGTGCAGCTGTGCATGAAAGCCAATCAGCTTCTACCTTCAACTAAGCTTTGACATAAACATCTGGAAACTTATTGGTTTCTCTGCAGATCTGCACCAGTTTAGCATTCTCCAGTTTTAGTAGATCAACACCATTGCTGTATAGGATAATATTAATATTGTAAAGTAAAGTAGTGTCATTTATGTACCATGCCTACATACGGTACATTTCCACAAGGCAAATAAAACAGGTATTTATTTTTAAGATAAATCTGGACTAGAAAATTGACAGTTAGAATGATTTTTATTGCTAAAGGCATTGTTCTCCAAGCAATATACACAAGACTACTTTTATAAAAAGAATAGTTCAAAAATCAGTTTCAGCAGAGGAGAGGAAGGGATCATAAAATAACAGGTCATTAGTGATTTCAGCATTAGACTTTAATTCTGGCATCCAATAAGATATTTAGGGTATAATTTAAGGGTTTATTGTGTCAACTGTTGTTAAGTTTAGGATAAGGTAAATGGCTTGGGCTAGAGTTCAGGGTGTTAAGTGATAGACTTCTAGGTAAGGCTGGCCATACATTATACAATTTTCTTGAGATGTTTGCTTTATTACTAATGTCCATACAGAAGAACATCTGGGTAGCAGTGACCATAACATGATTTAATTTATTGTTAGCTGTAAACAACAAGCACATTCGGGAAAAATAAAAACGCTCAACTTTGAGAGAGCTAGTTTTCCAAGGCTGAGAGCTGCTCTCCAAGACTTAGACTGGGAGGGAATATTGGCATCGATGAACACAACACAGAAATGGGTGTTCTTCAAAAAGACTGTATGTGAACACTCTGCAAAATATATTCCCATGGGCAACAAGTTTAAAAGACTAAACATTAAACCTATGTGGTTTACAGCCAAAGTTAAAAAAGCTATAAATATTAAGAAAAGAGCTTTTATTATATATAAAGATAAAGGAACGCTATCATCATTTAAACATTACAAAGAATATAACATAATATGTAAAAAGGAAATCAAGGCCTCAAAAAATGAAAACAAACTACAAATTGCAAAAAATAGCAGGACCAACCCCAAACAATTATTCAAATATATTCTTCAAGTATATATATTCTTCAAGTAAAAAGGTCTGGTCTGAGCATGTAGGCCCTTTACAAAATAATCTAGAGTGGGTGACTGGGGACAAAGAGAAGGCAAACTTGTTAAATACCTTCTTCAGCTCTGTGTATACAAAGGAGCATGGGGGAGCTCTGGTCCATAATGGGCATGGTATTGACACAGCTCCAGATGATCCACATTGGATCATAACTGATATGATAAAATATTTAGACAGAATAAAGGTGAATAATAAAGCACCTGGACCAGATGGCATACACCCATGGATCCTTAAAGAATTGAGCTCTGCCATTTCAGAGACATTGTTTCTAATTTTTAGGGACTCTTTAATGACTGGCATATTACCACTGGATTGGCGTAAGGCTAATGTGGTGCCTATATTTAAAAAGGGATCAAGATCTTTACCATGTAATTATAGACCTGTTAGTTTAACTTCTATAGTTTTAAGCAACAGATGGATACATGAAAGACAGAAGTTGTCAAACAAATCTGATTTGTTTTTAAGAGGAGGTGAGCAAAACCTCGGACAGAGAGGTGGCGGTGGACATGGTATACTTGGATTTTACAAAAGCGTTTGACACACACGGCTAATGTTTAAGGTAAAGTCTACAGACTTAGAAAAATCTGTATGTAAATGGATAGAAAACTGGCTTAAAGCTCGTATTAAGAGAATAGTGGTTAATGATTCATACTCTGAATGGTCTAGGGTTGTTAGTGGTGTACCCCAAGATTGTGTGTTGGGACCCTTACTTTTTAATATATTTATAAACGATATACTGTAAAGTCTGGGATTAAAAGCACTGTTTCAGTCTTTGCAGCTGACACTGATCTATACACTGACTAAATGTACTGTTTAATTGGGCAACTATGTGGCAAATGAGATTTAACCTTTCACGTCTAAGGGTAAAACAAATCTTAAAGCCTAAGTAAAATTTTACAACTTTGACATGTGTTAGTAAAACCATACACATCATCACAACTACTTTGTACATCCAGGTGAATTATACCTTGTTTTTTTAGGACAAATTGGGCTTTCATTTGGTGGTAGATGGTAGATGGATATCTCCTGATTTTTTTTTAATATCAAAGGAAAACTGGCCCAAAATAGTAAAAAAAAATCATTTTTTTTAAATTTAGCTGTGTGTTTCTTTTTACTACCATAACCTACCACCAAAGAACAAAATACATTTTCCAGCTCTTGACGAACGCAGCGATACTATATGTGTATGTTATTTGTTGTTTGTACCTTTACTATAGCCTGGAAACAATAGTGCGCATTTTGTTTTTTTGTTTTTACCTAAAACACACTGAGACTAACTGACACAGATACCAATAAAAAAAAAAAAAAAAAAAAAATATATATATATATATATATATATATATATATTTACTAGGGGGACTACAACTGGGGGAATCAATGGTGGAGAAGGATTTGGGAGTTCTGGTAGATCATAAGCTTAATAATGCCATGCAATGCCAAGCTGCTGTTTTTAAAGTAAAGTGAAACATGAAATCAAAAAAGTTGGGCAGCTGTGTAAAATCTACATAAAAGAAGAATGCAATGATTTAAGAAAAAAATAAAGTAATTTGGGCATTGATGGCAGCAACACATCTCAAAAAAGTTGGGACAGGGCAACAAAAATCTGGCAAAAGTAAGTGGTACTAACAAGGAAGCACTGGAAAAACATTTTAGGTTAATTAGAAACAGGTCAGTAACATGGCTGGGTAAAAAGGGCAACTTAGAGAGTCTCAGAAGTAAAGATGGGCAGAGGTTCACCAATCTGTGGAGAGCTGCATCTAAAAATTGCTAAACAATTTCAGAATAATGTTCCTCAACATAAAATTGCACACTTTAAATATGCCACCATCTACAGTACATAATATTATCAAAAGATTCAGAGAATCTGGAGAAATCTCTGGGAAAAAGCCAAAAAGCAAGATTGAATGCCCGTGATCTTTGGACCCTTAGATGGAACTGCGTTAAAAACAGACATGGTTCTGTGATGCACATCACTGCACGAGCTCAGCAATACTTCCAAAAATCAGTCTGTTAATACAGTAAACGCTCTATCATGCAAAAAAGAAGCCATATCTGAACATGATTCAGAAACACCCCTGTATTCTCTGGGCCAAAAGCTCATTTAACATGGTCTGTTTCAAAGTGGAAAACTAGTCTGTGGTGAGACGAATCAAAATTTGACATTTGTTTTGGCAATCATGGGCGTGACGTCCTCTAGACTAAAGAGGAGAGGGACCTTCTGGCTTGTTATCAGCACTCAGTTCAAAAGCCTGCTCCTCTGATGGTATGGGGGTTGCAGTAGTGCATATGGAATGGGCAGCTTTGCACATTTGGAAAGGCACTATCAATGCTGAAAGATAAACTGAGATTTTAGAGCAGCATATGCTCCCATCTAGACAATGTCTTTTTTAGGAAAGGCCTTTCATGTTTCAGCAGGACAATGCTAAACCACATGCTGTATCAATGAAAACAGCTTGGCTTCGTAGCAGAAGAGTCCGAGTGCTTAACTGACCTGCCTGCAGTCCAGACCTTTTACCAATTGAACATAAAAGTTGTTAAAAAAAAGAGGGATTGCTACACTGTGGTAAATATGACCCTGTCCCTACTTTTTTGAGATGTGTTGCTGCCGTTGATTTAAAAATGTTCTTATTTTTATGTTAAAGTGGTAGTAAAGTAATTTTTTATGTATTACCTAGAGGTAAGACTTTATTAAGGCTCAACTGTAGGCACTGTAAATATCTCCTAAACGTGCACCGTTTAGGAAATATTTACTTCAGAATGCCTGGTGGTGTCACTGGCGGATGGGGCCACGGCTCTCAATGGACGGCTTGCCGTCCACTAAGAGAGCCATGTCATGGCCTGAGACTCCCGCCAAACGGCTGCAGCTCAGGAACCCGGAAGGAAGACCTGGAGAAGATGGAAGCCCCAGGAAGCCTATAAGTCTTTCATAACGTGCTAGGATGTGATGCATACTAGCACATTATGCTCTTAACTTTCAGGGAGAAGCGGTTTTTAGATTTTTTTTTTTTTTGCAGTTTACTACCGCTTTAAAATGGTACATTTTTTCAGTTTAAACATTTGATAGGTTTTCTTTTTCTACTGTAAATAAAATATGGGTTTGCAAATCACTGCATTCTGTTTTATGTAGATTTTACACAGCATCCCAACTTTTTGGAATTGGGGTTGTAGGTTTAGCTTCAGTGACAACAAAAATGTATTTTTTTATGTAAATGCATTTTAAATTTTAAACACTGTTTTCCAGTCAGCGTAAAGGTGGTTACAATCAATACATCACCAAGAATGAATATTTATAATTCTCTCTAGATATGATCTATCTAGAGCTATTAAAATAATAGCCAGCCTACTAATGCCAACAAAATATTTAATTCTACTATCCACTACATTTTTATTCATTAAAAATTATTTTGAGTTGTGGATTAATCCCATATACAGTGAGGAACAGAAGTATTTGAACACCCTGCGATTTTTCAAGTTCTCCCACTTAGAAATCATTGAGGGGTCTGAAATTCACATTGTAGGTGCATTCCCACTCTGAGAGAAAGAATTAAAAAAAAAATCAGGAAATCACATTGTATGATTTTTTAAGAATTTATTTGTCTTGCACTGCTGAACATTAGTATTTGAACACCTAAGAAACAGCAAGAATTCTGGCTCTCAAAGACCTGTTTCTGTTCCTTTAAAAAGTCCACCTCTACTCCACTCATTAATCTAAATTAGTAGCACCTAAGAGATATAAGATGCCAGGTGGTATCCTAGTTAATCATGTTTCACATATAACTGAAATATCATTTTGAATTATTTGACCCTTTAAATGCATACTGCTGTAAGAATAAGCGTCATACAGTTCACTAGATTTAACTTACTTCTTTCTGTCTCGATTTTCAAACTGAAGTCAATGGGATTGATTTATTAAAAGGTAAATACGCTGTTTACTTTGAAAGTGAAGTTGTACTTCACAAGGGGATTTTTCCCAAGTCTTAGCGAATGTGGCAAAGATTCACTTTGCAAAGATTATCCAATAATATGCAAGGAAAACAAAAAAATGCATTTTTGCTTGCACATGATTGGATGATGGAAGTTAGCAGAGCTTCATCTCATTCACTAAGCTCTGGGGATAATTTCCTTGAAGAGCGCAACCTCGCTTGCAAAATGAACAGTCTATTTGTCTTTAGTAAATCAACCCCATTACATACCAACCAATAATTGATATGCCTTTTATACAAATCCCACCAAAGATGTAATATTCATGACTATCAGAGTACCATGTAATGTACTGTATAGAATATAAATTGGTAAAGCACAATTTAGCGTACTTGTCTCCTTTGCTCTTCGAAATTCCAACAAGCTTTTCAATGCCTCCTGCATCTCGTAAGGCTTTGGCATTTTCCATATTTTTAGTAATAACTTCGTGCAGGGTGCAGCATATAGCAGTGACAGTGTCATCAGACATAGCCTTGCTAGAAAGGGTGTTGCAGTTGTTCCCCCCAGGAAGACGGTGAACCAGGTCTCTCATGGCATATTTGCCTATGTTAGAGAAAAAGAAAACATTATATTAAAAATACAATGTGAAACACAACATGACATTCTCTGATTTATTTGTACACACCATAAAATACTCCAAACGTCACTGAAGGTTACAACACTATGAGCATACTGCCACTTAAAAGAGGGCTGGACATTTTGCAAAACAAAAAAGGAAAAAAGGGGCCTGTACCCCTATATGCGCTGTATAGTTCAGCTTTAGAAAAGCAGAGAAAGGTAGGAAAAAACGGAAGGTTACATTCTTCCCAAACACACAAAACATGCAACTGTGCACTATTGAAATGGCCAGGTGCTATTCCGCACATCTCAGAATGTGTTCCACCTAACTGGATTCAGCTGGATTTTGTTAATTAATGCCCCATGATGGTTCACGTATGCCACCACCATAGCTCTGTTGGACTGTACTTGCACTGAATGTCTTTCCAGAATGGTAGTCCAGTAAATCAGGGCCAGCTGTATTGTTCAAAGCTCTAGAAGAATGATCAAAGGGTTGGACTCCTATGGGGACCAATGACCTTGCACTAATAGGGGCTCGGAACTCCACCCCAAATGCAAAGGCTCACATCCTTGGTAAGGATTTTCCATCTGGGACGAATGCCCAATGTCAGCTATAGGGGAACTAAGCCCGCACATCAAAGAAGATCTGGTCTGTGGTCAGAGGTTTATTTCCATATTTAGGAAAATGGGAGACTTGCCTCACCACAACAGAATAACTTACTACAAAGTCTTGGTGTGAATCCCAAGACTCTAACACAACTGTGCAGAGGATCTAGCTGTTCTGGTAGGTCATAGACTTAACAAAGGCAAACAGTGCCAATCTGCAGATTCTAGAACAAAGAAAATATTTTATTGCCTAAAGAGACTGTTCCCATGTACGACACACATATATATATATATATATATATATATATATATATATATATATATATATCAATATGTCTGTTTTGACCACCAGTTCACAAAAAAGGATGTTGTAGAGTGCAGAGAAGGACAACTAAATCAACAAGGTTAGCGGACGACCAATGTAAATACGCAGAAATTATCCATACCCAGAATTTCTCTTTAACAAATTTCTTTCCACAGGTTGACAACCTTGTTTTTTGCACTAACATCAACAGTTGTCCACAGCTTTGGGTTCTGAGCATGACTCACTAGAACTTTGCTTCTTTATTTATTCATCAATGTTAAGCTGTTTTGTTACACAATGGTAATGTAAACCCTGTTTACATAGTAAGCACATCCAATACACTGAGTGCAACTGGAATATCCGTCCGTAGAGATCCAAAAGTAATGGCTGTGCTGCTTTGAATGCAGCTCGATTATACCAAGTTCTGCTGTGAATATAAGTACTGTATGTAAAGAACTGTATGCAAGTATACAGAAATGAGGCAGCCATGCAAAAAGAATCACATTAAAAAAAATGGCCAGAAAATTTGCTACCTGGACAGAAAAATGTGGCACATAAACCACCTGTTGTCTGCTAAAGATATTTTTGCCTCCGCTTCACATAAAACTCAAACTGATGAAAATTTTTTTCTGAAAGGGATGAACAAGGAAGGTGAAGACAGATGTTTAAAAAAATAACTGATACCATGATAAAGGAAGGCATTTTTGTTGGTCCACAGATCAGATGCATCATCAATGTCAAGCAATCTGAAGATTTGTTAGTGGTGACAGAGATAATCACCTGGAAATGTTGATAATTGTCCTGCCAACTACAGAGCAACAAACTGCATTCAGCTAGTTGACGAACCTATTACAGTGTACAAGACCAGAAGTGCAACATGTCACTGAAGAATATTTTTCTGCTTTCTCACTTGGACTTCTTTCTCAAAAATCTAGGAAATCAGTGGCAAATATGATGAAAGTTTTCAGCAGAACATTGTCATAAATGGTATCAGGGCAACTGGAATCCAACAATGCTGGCTGAATATAGTTGAACACTGCAGCAAGATGCAGCAGACACTGAGTACAAACACAAATCAGCAGCAAAGCAGTTTTAGCCCTGTTAACTCATGAAGTCAGAAACATTATGCGATTAAATACATTATAGTCATTAAAATTAATTTCATATTTCTATGTGATACAGTAATTCTGACATGATATTTGTATTCAGTTTAAAAGCGTCTATCATAGCCATCAAAAGTTCAGGAAGCAAAACTTTTGAAAAAAAACTGTTGTTCGGTATAATAAATTCCCACAAAGGCCTTCAGACATGCACTATCCCACTTAGGATAAATCTGCAGCAGGGTAACAGTTTGTCTTACCTGCTGAGCCTCCAGGCATACAGGACTTTCCAGCAATGGATACTTCCTTGCAAGGGAGAAAGGAAGGACACTCACCTGCAGAAACCCCACTGTTCTTCATCAGAAGAGGGGATCTAAAGGACAATATCTTGACTCCAGGAAAGACACTGTCGTCATGAATAATACACTCACTCAACACTGTCCAGCATAGAGAGTAAGTCACATGGTCTGTTGCACATATTTCAAATCTTTCCAGAGGCGAAGATCTTGCATCCTCCAGATGAAAAGATATATTAATATAGGGATCCCCCAATGATGCAGAACCTGCCTGTTCTGGAGAAAGAGTAGGCAAGAGGACACCAAGGATTAGTATCTGAGACTTATTGGTCCAAAGATATCAATTTGGTGCTTTGCCAAAAATATAGACTCCTTTTAGAGAGACAAAAAAGGATTGAGAGACTGCACGAAGAGGGGGCATCATGCTAAAAGTGAATTCCCCAGCAATCCTACAAACCATAGAGGGGTGAATGGAAAAAATCTGCTACATAGCAGGAATAGTCAAAGGTGCACAGGTAGTGGGAGATTTTAGTGAGGATTTGAGCAGGGCAGTCCCACTCGAAGATGACTCAAAATTACTAGCACTAGATAGTTGTTACATGAACTGCCACATCTTTGAAAATTACTCTTATCAGGGAAGGTCTTTTGAATGTTCCACAATGGGAATTGCCGCATAAAACACTAGTGTCGATATAAGGGTCAATGTTGTGGTCAGGGTCTTGAACTGCTAGAGGACACTGAAGATTCAGAGAGATAAAAGAGTGGGAAGCAAAGGCCCTAAGGAGCAGGGGAACTCAAAGAAAGCTAGGAAGATGAACAAGGGGGTGCAGTTATACCAGAAGGATCAGAGAAGCAGCTGAAAGAGGTGCCAGATTTAAGGGTCGAGAATGAAAGCAACAGGGGGAAGCCTGACATCCAAACTGCAAGGACGTAATTAACAAGGGACCAAGTAGGAAGAACAGGTCTCCACTTGTGTGGGGCTGCACTTTCTTGCAGAAGACTAAGAAGATGAGACAAAGGGCATCTGACTTCAAGATCATCAGCCATTAGGCTGATTGAAAAAAGAAAACAGACCTAACAACACCAGGGATTATTGATCCAGGGAATATGCAAAGGCCTTCTGGAGATCCAAAAGGAATTTATTTTTTCTCACTGGAGAAAATTGGACTATGCCTTTTAGGGTTGTTTTTTTTTGCCTGTTTTTTTTTCTACTCATTGAACTAGATAAACTAGATATAGGAATCCCCCCACTGGGACATTGTATTCTGACAGTGGCTCCCGCTGATGTCAGAATACACTAATCAATGACTGCAGACGATTGGCTGCAACAGTGGATCGGGAAAAGTCTAATAGCATGTGTCTTCCACAGAAGTCGATCAAATGATTGACTTCTGTTGAGCGGGTACTGCCATATATGAAATTTGTCTTATTCCTGCTGAACTGGTTGAAATTTCATCAATGTATGGCCAGTTTTAAAGGACAAATGAATCAGATGTTCCTTGGGTGCATCCTCAAAATCCCAGACACAGAGCTTATATTCTTGTAGGAGGCCATCACAGCCACTTCGGCTGGGCTCGAGACATTTGTTCCAAAGGATACAGGGCATGAGGGTTTGTCCTTGTGATTTACAGGTTGACATTAGGGAAGACTGTAAACACCAAAATTTTATTATTTCATTGACATATGGAAAGCCCCTTCAAAACACTCTTGTTGTATACCCTAATAGTTACAAAAGAAAAGAGTACCACTATACAGTGGGGCAAAAAAGTATTTAGTCAGCCACCAATTGTGCAAGTTCTCCCACTTAAAAAGATGAGAGAGGCCTGTAATTGGCATCATAGGTAGACCTCAACTATGAGAGACAAAATGAGAAAAAAAATCCAGACAATCACATTGGCTGATTTGGAAAGAATTTATTTGCAAATTATGGTGGAAAATAAGTATTTGGTTACCTACAAACAAGCAAGATTTCTGGCTCTCACAGACCTGTACCTTCTTCTTTAAGAGGCTCCTCTGTCCTGCACTCATTACCTGTATCAATGGCACCTGTTTGAACTTGTTATCAGTATAAAAGACACCTGTCCACAACCTCAAACAGTCACACTCCAAACTCCACTATGGTGAAGACCAAAGAGCTGTCGAAGGACACCAGAAACAAAATTGTAGACCTGCACCAGGCTGGGAAGACTGAATCTGCAATAGGCAAGCAGCTTGGTGTGAACAAATCAACTGTGGGAGCAATAATTAGAAAATGGCAGACATACAAGACCACTGATAATCCCCCTCGATCTGGGGCTCCATGCAAGATCTCACCCCCTGGGGTCAAAATGATCACAAGAATGGTGAGCAAAAATCGCAGGACCACACGGGGGGACCTAGTGAATGACCTGCAGAGAGCTGGGACCAACGTAACAAAGGCTACCATCAGTAACACACTACACCGCCAGGGACTCAGATCCTGCAGTGCCAGACGTGTCCCCCCTGCTTAAGCCAGTGCATGTCCGGGCGTCTGAAGTTTGCTGGAGAGCATTTGGATGATCCAGCAGAGGATTGGGAGAATGTCATATGGTCAGATGAAACCAAAATAAAACTGTTTGGTAGAAACACAACTCGTTGTGTTTGGAGGAGAGAGAATGCTGAGTTGCATCCAAAGAACACCATACCTACTGTGAAGCATGG